GCGCGGGAAACCAAAATGTCACATCATCCTCTGAACCGCCTCGGGGGTAAATATAATAATGATGCATACAGGCGATGATGTCATTCCAAAAAGGAAGCCACGTGTCAGTGGATCAACAATGTCATATATTTCACCTCATTCATATTGCCGCCCCTGGTCGAGGTCAAATTCTCCTAAGCCGAGGTTCGCATTTCCGCCCATCGAAGACGCCCACCGAATGCGTCTCCAACGAGCGGAGGGACTAACTGTATAGGGTCAAATTTGACCCTCAGCATCTCTACGGCAGTGGGTACGCCCAGTGAGTGTACGCCGACTAACGTAGCGGGTACGACTCGGACGTGGGGACAAAAGCGACATCGTTTAGGACTTAGTGTCTTCACTAGGGAGACGTTACCTGTCTTTGTAACTTTTTGATTCTTTCGAGGAAGGTCTCTTGTTATATAAAGGAGACCTTCACATTGTAAAGGGGGGATTCTGATCTAATACAACTCTCTCATTTTCTGGCTTTCTCTCTCTATCTCTACCTCAAACGAACATATCTTATCGAGTTCATATTATCACTTTGCAATACTAGATCTACGACAATAATATCATCTTTGCATCTCTAGGTTTATTATATTTGATTACGATTTACCCTCTTCTTACTTTGATTGTTTTCTAGCTTACAAAGTATATTGTTAACTTTTGAGCCAAACAATGATATAATTGAATTTACAGAAATCTCAATTATCCCATTATACACCAACTCATCACTGTACAAATATCACATAATCGATTATAAGGATTTTATTGGCAAATGAAAAGATATAGCATAACTTTATCATGGATACCAAATCTCGAATTACAATACTTGTGTCTACCAATATACATAGTAATTTTATGTAAGAAATGTTAGGATTTTGCCTTGAATTTCTAATCTATTAAGACTCTCTTTCTTGAAGGAATGAAAAAAAGTACTACCTAAAACGGATTAAAATCTACCTTAATATGTCTTATCCTTTTCTCGGAACAATGGTGTCATTAAAGAGTTTTGTTTAGGGGTAGTATTTTTCTCTCGTTAGTTTTTCTTCGTTTTATAGTTAGTTTTTATCGTNTATGGTGAGTAAACGACTCGACAACAGTCGAAGTCGCCTACATGGCTAAGGCCATCAACTATATTATGGCTAAGGCCATCGCCGCCAACGGTCGACAGTCGAAGTCACGTACATGGCTAAGGCCATAAATGATATTATGGCGAAAGCCATCGACGCCGATAAGTCGACCCAGCTCGACTACGACGGCAAGTAACTCGATGACAGTCGAAGTTATGCACATGGCTAAGGCCATCAACGGTATAATGGCTAAGGCCATTGACGCCGATAAGTCGACCCAGCTCGACTATGACAGCGAGTAACTCGACGATAGTCGAAGTTGCGCACACGGCTAAGGCCGAAAATAAAAGGTACAAAAAGAAAAGAATAACAGCAAAAGTATAACTTCCATTATCATCCAAAAATACATGTACAAAAGGACCCATTTACTTCTCCAAATACAGCAAAACAAAATGAATACAACTCCTAAGGGGCTTCGCCATTCTGTTCACCGCCCCCCGTCGGACCGCCATCTCGTCCACCGCCGTCCTCGGCCTGATAGGCCGCAGAGATCCAAGAGCCGGATTCTAGACGGTTGACGTCTTCGGAGTTATAGCCTGCCCGGTCTGGGGAATCAGAACTATACCCACAAGTTTCACGGGCGGCACGGGCTATGCGCCGTTGCTCTTGAACCTCCGCCTCAGTAGCTCGACCCGCAGCTAAGAACTCCTCGAATACGACCAATCTGGCCTCGGCGTACACCCACATGTCATGCGCCTCACGATGCGCATCCTCATCAGGCCTTGGTGCAGCAGTCCGCTTGAGGACTTCAATCTCAGCCGCCTTGGCATCGAGTTCGGTGGTCATAGCGGCAACCTTGATCCGCAAATCAGCAGCTTCCGCCGCTACCCCACGGCCAACCTCCAACTCTTCTTCCTTAGACTGGAGAAGAGTCTCCAGCTCAATGTTCCGAGCCAGGGCGGTCATCAGCTGCTCGTCGATCTGCTCCAACTCGGCCACCCTCCGTTTCAGCTGGGCCTCCGACTGCTCCAAACCCTCACGGAAAACCCGAAATTCCGGGTCCTGCTTGAGTAGGTCCGCCAGCGCCTGATGCTTGACGCGGCACCGCCGATATTTCTTTACCACCTTGTTAAAGGTGGCTGCCTTCCTTTGCGCTCGCCGCCCCCTCTCTACCTCCAAGATGAGAGTCTAAAAAAGAGGAAAAGGAGGAAAGGCAAGTCAGTATGCATCAAAATTTACTTTACGGTACATGAAGAAAATCGAAAAATACCTGCAAGGCCGCGCCGGCAACCCTCCGGGATAGTTCCCCGTCGCTAACCCCTTTTAACATTTCACGCTCAGCGGCCGCACATAGCAGGGTCATATCCGTTGCGGCCTGCTCGCTGTGTTGCAACAGGTTATACCCTCCTGGGATCAGAATTCGGCGGTTGGATCTACCTGCCGTCATCCCCACACGGGCCGGACCCCGCGTTAACGCATCTGCATCCGCCTGGGCGGCCTTAGGGCCCACCCTCTCGGTATCATCGCCCGCTTCTCCAACGGCAGCCGACGAGCCGCTCTCCGGAATGCGTGTTGGGCTGGCGTCGAGAACCGCCCCCCCTTGGGGAGCCGACCTCCCGGAACGGATGGCATCTGCCATAAAAACTGGCCTTGACTCCCGATGGGGCTCGCTCGCCCCCTCGTCTTCTGTGGCTATCCCCTTGCCGGTTATCAACCGACGTCTTTTCCTTTCTGGCGGCTCCTCGCTCTCAGAAGTCTCCTCCACAGCCCGTGGGGATGGCATTGAAGGAGTCGCTCCCCTCGTGGACGCCGCCACGGGCAGCGGTTGAGGAACCTCCGCAGCGCCATCACTGGGCGAACCACAGGGTATGTATCCGTCTTCAGAATCAGTCCCCGCCCCAGGTGAGGTGACGACGTTCTTTTTCTTCTTCTTAGGGGCGCTCCGACCTGCCAACGCGAATAAGTCAGGTAACAAGAACGTAGGGAACTCCCAAACCGTAGCCAAAGAATTACCTGACGGGCCGTACTGTTGAAGAAATGCAGCCCAGGTACGGCATTCCTCCGCATAAGGTATTATTCTTTCCACCCATGATTTAATGTCATCAGTGAACTGGGGTGGAGAAGCCCTCGCTGCGAATAAAAAAGGGAGAAAAGCAAAGAAATCACAATGGCCGTATGGTCAAAAGCGCAAGCAGTCCTGAATTCTACGAGTAGAAATACTTACGTTCTGGATTCCATCTTTCCGGGAACCCTTCGGGATTCGACACCAGGTGCTCCGTCCTGATGTAGAAATATTTACGCCAAAAGCGGCGGTTGGGCTTATCATCGGCTTTAACAACCAAGCCCCTTGTGCCACGACTTTTTAACTGCAGCATGGTACCCCTCAGGTAACCAGGGCTGAATAACTGTAAGAGGTGGTGGACCGAGACGCTGCACTCAGCCCTGGCCGCATAAGTGGTCATAATACGGCACACCTTCAAGGTGTAAGGAGTGAGCTGAGCCGGACACACATTGTAAAAACGGCAAAGCTCCTCCATCAGAGGGTAGATTGGAAGATTGTAACCGATCAAGAACGGGTACTCATAGAATGTGCAATATCCAGGCCGGTGCACATTGGCATAGTCCGTCCCGGCCGGAACCATTTCCACGTGGTCCGGAATATGGTGCGTCTCTCGAAGATCATCTAAATGGGATTGTAATAAAACGCTGTGCTCCCAGGGAAGGTCTGGGCTTTTAGTTGGAAAATCCCTGCGAACATGCATCTCCTTCGGAAGGACGTTGTCTACACTGAGAGGAACAAGGGCCTTCTCCGCCTTTTCCCCTTCACCACCGGAAGATGGCGGAACCCTAGACGGGGCATTATCTTTGGCCTTTTTACTACTCTGTCCACGTTTTGTCATGATTATACTACGTAAGAAACGAAGCACTGACGATAGGAAGTGTGGTTTCGACAGAAGTGGGAGAGTCCCTCACGAAATAACGGTTACAGGAAAGAAAGACAAAGGAGTAAATCAGAAAATGCTTTCCGAAGGCTTGAAAGTTGAATCGAATCGAACCTCTCTCCTACTTATAGGGATAAGTTGCGCAGAAATCGAAGAGTCATGATTCAAAACGTGCGCGGGAAACCAAAATGTCACATCATCCTCTGAACCGCCTCGGGGGCAAATATAATAATGATGCATACAGGCGATGACGTCATTCCAAAAAGGAAGCCACGCGTCAGTGGCTCAACAACGTCATATATTTCACCTCATTCATATTGCCGCCCCTGGTCGAGGTCAAATTCTCCTAAGCCGAGGTTCGCATTTCCGCCCATCGAAGACGCCCACCGAATGCGTCTCCAACGAGCGGAGGGACTAACTGTATAGGGTCAAATTTGACCCTCAGCATCTCTACGCCAGTGGGTACGCCCAGTGAGTGTACGCCGACTAACGTAGCGGGTACGACTCGGACGTGGGGACAAAAGCGACATCGTTTAGGACTCAGTGTCTTCACTAGGGAGACGTTACCTGTCTTTGTAACTTTTTGATTCTTTCGAGGAAGGTCTCTTATTATATAAAGGAGACCTTCACATTGTAAAGAGGGGATTCTGATCTAATACAACTCTCTCATTTTCTGGCTTTCTCTCTCTATCTCTACCTCAAACGAACATATCTTATTGAGTTCATATTATCACTTTGCAATACTAGATCTACGACAATAATATCATCTTTGCATCTCTAGGTTTATTATATTTGATTACGATTTACCATTTTCTTACTTTTGATTGTTTTCTAGCTTACAAAGTATATTGTTAACTTTTGAGCCAAACAATTACTGCTACTTCTTTCTTTGCAGTTATTTTTCCGTGCAGCATACTTCATTAATTCTATATATTTGATTTCTTCTCCTTTCCTTTTTCAATTGCAGTTATGCCAGACTTTGCACAAGTTTACAGCTTCATTGGCAGTGTCTTTGATCCAAGTACAAGGGACCACTTACAGAGGCTGAAAAAGATGGACCCCATAGATGTTCAGACGGTATGTGGGAATTAATTTAACACACATATAATGTTAGATAGCTCCAGTTTGCATCTCACATATGTAAAGTTGTGAACACGAGAGGGAGCAAAGACATTTACGGTGCATACTGTAACTCTGTACCCGAATCCTAGCTTGGATTAAGGTGTAGTTGTTTTTGTTGTAGATGAGGCATAAATCCAATTTGCAGACATGGGTCTTAGATAACGCTCTTCTGATCCCAAATGGAAGGACCTACTTTTTGTACCATGGCGAAAAAACTTGAATGGTTAATTTAATAGGTCTACAGTTGAAAAGTGTGTTGTTGGGCAGGTTAAGCAAAGATGAAATACTTTTCAAAGTTTTGAAGATGGAGAATTTTTTTAATACCAGGAAATGACTGAGTTAGATGTGTGTATTAGACATTACAATAGGCTAACGATGAATCTCCGTTATTTCCAATTAGTATTAGATCATCAGCCCCTATGCACTTCATATTAGTGGGAGCGTCTGAAACCTATCAATTTTCTTTTGTTCAATATTGCCCAAAAATGAAGGCAAAAAGGAACTTTCCTGATCTATTGTACAACTTTGAAATGCATGTCCTAGAACAATAAAAAGTCAAATTTTTGAAAGGTTACAATGCATGCTTTTTAGGATGCTGATGTTCAGTGTGTTGTGCTTGTGTATGCAACTTAGCATACTCACTTTCTTGAGTTCCAGACCGCCTCTCTTAGTAGAGGTGGTGCTAGTTGATATCAGAGGTGTCAGAATCATCCCCTTTACAGCATCTTTAGGTACATTTGTGATTTGACATTTAGACAGTTACACTGCGACCGACAGACATGATCATTACAAACTTCTTTTTTCCTATAGATTTGTCTTTTTAAGATAGCAAAATCTTATCCTGTTTTATCCTTTTTTGGAACTCAGACTGCAAATTAGACAACAGGAATTTCTTGGTAGTTCCTCTCTCTCTCTCTCTCTCTCTCTCTCTCTCTCTCTCTCTCTCTCTCTCTCTCTCTCATCCGCAAACTGTAAAGGTCTTGGTTCCTGGAGTGTTAGATTGTTCAGGTTATGGCGGATGTTAACTTTTTTTTTTTATCAGACCTCAGATACACTACTGCATGCTGCCATGTTGACATGTTAGTCTATGAATTGCTTCATCTGTCACTTGACTGAAAGGTACTGTTTTGTTGGTTTACAGGCACTGATGTTGATGGAGAATCTATCCTTCAATTTATTGAGCCCTGAATTTGAGGATCACGTAAGTTTCAGTCAATCAGTTACATCTTTCTTAATCAGTAAAGGCTTATGTGATCTAATTAGAAATCTCAAAATGGTGATAGAGCCGGAGGAATTGCACTTTGGTCTTTTTTAAGGGAGGGATTATTATTCTTCTGTTTTATTATATGGTTTCTGATAGTACTGTTTAAGTCTTATTTTCTTTGTAGTATCTTCTTGTACCTGTGGTTGCAATACATTTTTGTGTTGAGACACCAAGTCCAACTCCACAAAATAAAAGCCAGGTTGAGCTGAGCAGGTGGTGTTTTTTAAGGTTCTATTAATGGAGGTTTGAGTTGACATGGCTTGAGCTCAGCACATATGCAATCTATTTTTATTTCTCTTTTCGTGAAGAAAGTAAACAGAACAAATGGATATTGAGAGAGATTGAGAGAGAGAGAGAGAAGTCAAAACGAACTAGGAAATGGAGTTTGCTGCTGTGCTGAATTTTAACGACCTTCATCCATTGGTCTATTTTTGAGGTGGTAGCTTTCCAGTACTCGGAGACGAAGCTACAATGAGATCTGTTTGGTCTCTAGTTCATCCATTGGCCTAGCTATATCACCGTACTGTAATTTTAACTAGGATAAAATGTTGCATGGCATGAAAGCTAAGTGAGTTAGTCAATTATCCATTGTTTTATCTTAATTCGTTTTCTCATGCTTTGTGCAGAGGAGGTTGCTCTCATCGTATGGGTTGGGCGCTGAAAAAGATAAAATGGACCATCCTATAAAAACTGATTTTAGAGAGAATGCAATCCAAGCTGTCTAGGAGTCTGGAGGAAGTTTAAGAAGATGCGTGGTCTCATTGCATATACCTGGTGGAGACAGAAGAGAGGGCAGCGTGATGCGAACACGTGCAGCATGTGTATCTAGTCTGTTTATATGCTTCAAACTTGCAAGTTGCTCGCAGTGTTTCCACTCCACTCTGTATATACTTTTAGGGAAGACAATGCGGGAGTAGAGATACACTTTGAGGGCTTGTATGTACTTGTGGAGAGTAGTATATGTTTGTGCTGTATTATAGGTAGATGGCGTAGGGCTTGTGTTGTATATTGTTGAGGGGTGTGCCCTCATGCGTTTTGTCCTAGAAATGTGTCATAGGTTAAGACACGTTTGTAGCAGTGTGTTTGGCATACTGTTTGGCATGTTGAGAAGAACGGAAATCAAAACTTTGTGGTTTTTTTGAGTAAATGGAACAGTGACCTAAATGATATATAGTGTTAAAGCTGGAGAATGCTTCAGTTACAGAGAAAAACAAACTCCAGTGAGTGTTGTAAGATATCAATCATTTTAGGTCATTTGTTTGAAGCTAATGTGACCAAGTAGATGCCTATACACATAAATGTGGGTCCAAAACTTATAGTTTAGCCAAAAAGTGAAGGAATTAACCAGTACATTTTTTAACCATATCGGATAAAATTGGAGAATCAGCCAACGAATTTCATGTTGAAAACATTTTGTTGAACGGTGTTAAAGATCGCATTTTCGTAAGAGTATACGTCAAAAACATTTGATCGCTTTATCACGTTCCACCGGAATGTGTTAGATAGACTTCTCCTTTATCATGTTCTTCTATTTCTTTTTGTTTTTACTTTTGCATCAGTACACTACACTACAGCACAAATCAAAGGATACCACAGTTTATGACTCGGGAACTTTACTTTGTAATTGCATTTTTCACTACTAAGAACATGTATTAATAGGGGAACTAATTATCAAAATCTACGTACCTTGACCCCTTTTAAGAGAAAAATTAAAATCAAGTCCTAGCTTGCATGCAAATCACATCTATATAATACTGAAGCTAAAGAATCCACTAATGTCTCTAAATTCTTGATATGTATAGAGCTACGTATATTCAGTTCAACGTTAAACCTGTATATGGCGATCCAAGATCCTCATACTTTGAATTCGAAATTATTCCATTTATTCTATCAACAACCTTCTTCTTCATCTCCACCATTGCAACCTCAAACTGCTCCAATTCATCCATACCCATATCTCCAACTGGCAACTCAAACGATGTCGTCTCTTCATCTTCCTGATCCACATTATTCTCAATCACTACATCTTTATCCTTCTTTTCAGCCTCTTTATGAACCGGAATTTCATTGCCTTCAGGAGCTGACGTGGCGGCAATATAACGGTTTACGACGTCGTCAACAGAAGGATGGCCGAAGGCAAAGACGTTGCCGGCCAAAGAAAACGTGATAACAGCGGCTTGAGCGTCGCATCTTTTGGCCAACTCCTTAGCTTTCTTAAAAAGACCTTGTCGACGTTTGGTGAAAGTGGTATGCCTTTTAGCTTTATCCTCTATTCTCTTGATCTCTAATTTTGTACGCACCATGCTTGCTTGGTAGTAGAACTGGTACAACTTAACCTGCAATTTTGAAAGGGGTTTAAATCTAGGGTTTTTCCTGACTTCTTTAACGATGCAAGAAGAAGAAGAAAAAGGTAACAGAAATTCAAACCCTAGTTTTTCTGAATGTAGTACTGCGCTAGGTAGTTCGAATTCAAACATGATTCTGCTTTATTCTTTTTGAAAATACAGATTAGTAGTTAATGAAAACTAGTATGGATACACAAATTATTGGGTAACTTACCATGTGAGATGATCAGTAATTAAATAATTTTCTAGACGAAAGGAGGATTGGGAAGTAAAATCGAGAGAGAGAGAGAAAGAGAGAGAGGGGATTACCAATGAGAGAGAATGTCCCTTTCTCTTCAATCAGACTGCGCTTTGCCGCCAAAGTAACAGACAGACGCGCCCTTTTCCTTTTTGTTGATGCGAGAGATGGGAATGGGAGACGTAACTCACTAGGCCACAAGACGGGTGTGTGTACAACTGTCTGTTATACATATAAGTTTAATTCATTTAATTTTCAATGTGAATTTATATTTTCGCAAAAGTAAAAGATTTAAGTATAATTAACATATAGAAACTATCCAAAAAAATAAATTGCAAATTTTTTGTATTTAAATAATGTTTGAAAAAGTCACAATTAAAAAAAAAATAACTCCTCAAATAGTAACATTGTAATTTCCTTTTAGGCGAAGGAAGTATATTTATATTAAATATACATTCAAGCCTCAGTAGAGGAAATGTAATAATAATGGTAATTTTTCCACCTTATGATGAAGGAAAATGTTATGAAGGAGTAACAAATTTTGGTGGGGGCGTAAATGGGATGAAAAAGGCCATCAGCTGGGGCAAGCTTTATATCGAAAACGGCCATATTACTGTATATAAATTCACCTCGTTGAATTGTGATTATTCATTATTGCACTAGACATTGGAGTCTTGGATAATTAATTGCCTTTGGGGAAACCTTACAGTTATTCGTTAAAGAAAATAATTTAACGAAGAAATATCTTACTAAAGAAGAGGGGTAACCGGGTAAGGACGTAGAGAATGTGGCAATCTGTCTAATTTTTCTTTCTTACTTGATAATACTATGTTTTACCTAATAAAACTTAAAACGGGGACGTTTGTTGATCAATCATAGGGAAGATAATTCGTCAATTATTCAGTTAAAATAAATATTTTACTTCCTTACTCTTAACTAGAACATTTTTTACTTCAATAGCATTGTTTAGAAATCAAATCAAACTATTAGTAGTACTTTTAAGATGTACTGGGAAGAAAATGTACAAGAATTGAAATTGTAAACGACTCTTCAAGAACCAAGTCCAACCACTTTGAAATTAGTTAAGCCTTCCAGTACTATAATGAGGATTTCAGTGACGACAGAAAAATAAAAAGAAGTCCAAGAAAAGGGAAGAGAGCAGGAGAGCAGGCAACAACCAAATTAGGAACACAAGGAAGATCAATATGAACTAACAATTTGCACAACCATGTTTGCACAATATATTAAGAGTTGTCGATACAGAGGCCCTTTTCAGCCACTCCTCACTGGCGTATGTAGATGACACTAACCCCCCTCCCAAAGTACCCAGAAAGTAGGATCTAAGACTTATGTCAGTTCCCCTGATATGTTTACCAAATACTTGCACATAGGTGATGGTAAATGAGTACCACATGAAAAATGTTAACCTTACATGGCCAACTATCTATATCGCAATCCCATGTCAAGCTCGTGACCGTACATCCCCCGTCCACGCCCAGCAGGAAAAGTGTGATTCTGCTTTGAAGCCTTAAGCTCCATCTCAATAAGCCTTTGCAGGGCCTCAGGATGATTGTTTCTGCTGTTGATATCTGGCCCTGAGGACGAAAAGAATATAATGTAAACTCGAACAGTGTAGAACATCGATAGAGTATTCATCCTCAATCAGAAAAGTAGCACCAATTAAAGGACTAAGTGCAAACCCTTTTTAAGAATGCATGATATGTGCACAATATATCCTAATATGTTCTAGATTTTTAGCGTCCAATGATATTCAGCAGGGTATAAATCTTGAGAGACAGCATCCATAAAAGAAGTGGCCATGGGGATAGCATTTTACTTGTTCAAGCCTCAAAAGCAGACAGAGTAATTTGTAGCAATTGGGGGGGGGGGGGGGCAGAGTAGTAACACCAGTATACCATGAAAACCACTCTGCAGAAAGGAAAGGAAAAAGAATAAGCAGATACCTACTTCCTTTGAGGAGAAATGATTTACTAACCTACAGGTTTTCCAAGGCAAGCTAAGGCTACTGATGGAAAGCATACCACTTGGTCATGTTAATCATAAATTTCGACTTGATAACAACTCAAAGCCTAACAGGAAAGAGACCTTCGAAAAATGAGTAAGTTGTGGAAATACATTTAACAGTTAGGTGCAGGGGCGGATTTAGGGGGGCGGAAGGGTGTTGACCCGAACCCCTTTGCCGAAAAATTACACGGTATATAAAAGGCAAAATCTGTTTTTTCTCCTTTATATATTATGTTTTGAATCCCCTTAACACAGCCCAAAAGCATAGCTTAGTGGTCAAGGGAGTTCAAAATCTTTGAAAGGTCATTGGTTCTATTCCCACTAGCTACAACCTTTCTAACTTTTTTCTTTTTTGAACCTCCTTGGCGGTAATCCTGCCTCCGCCACTGGTTAGGTGTATGGAGGCAGTAACTAAAGGAGTAAAAATCCTAACAAGCTGCAATTCAGGCTTATGTCTTTGCCATCAGTAAACCATGTTAGTGAGATGGTGCAGACAGGGGATAGCAGGAAAGAAAGCAATATCAACATTGCGATAGTAGAACTAAGAAATAAGCAGAAGCTGTTGCAAAGATCAAGAAACTCTTTGCTTTAACTTGAGCAAGATCAGAGAAGAGCAACATAATATTGAGGTGTAAGCCATAGAAGAACAAGACACAGACATAGAGCAGTAGAGACGGCACATCAAGGCTTTACCTGGAGCTTGCATCCCAAGTCCATTAATGTTGACTTGGTGAGACGTAAAAGGGAACCCTTGCATCGGGTTAACTTCATGCACAAAGCCAGCAGCCTGATTACTGGAATGTGAAGGAACTGGACCACCGTTCAGACGGTCATGTAGCAGATGAGGGGGGTGAGTCCCAGACATTTGCATCTGCTGCAACATAGGATGATGAGCAGGAAGATCAAATCCTGTCACCCTAGCATTCGGATGGTGAAATGGAGGTCTCATCATACTTCCGGCAAACTGATGACCAGGAAGAGCATCGTGCCGAATCATGCCCTCTGGACCAGAGAAAATCTGAGAGTTCAAATGTGCAGGACGAGAATCCAATGGATGAAGTAATGGTTTCCCTTGACTCATTTGCAAAGGATGAAACTGAGAAGATGATGGTTGAGCACGAAGATGGTGAAAAAGCATCTCAGACTCAATCTGGTCATGAGAAACTCGTGGAAAGGGTAGTGCCCCTGGACCCACCAAAGACCTTTGATCACTGCCAACTGAGTTAACAGTCACCAGGTCACCTTTACTCATATTTCCTGCTGGCATTGGGACCTGGGATACCAAAGGATCACCAACACTAAATAAGCTCTCTCCTTCAGGTAGACGAAATTCACCAGCCCGATAATCACCATTTCTGGACATCGCTTCAGTTTGGCGCTTTAAGGAGTTGACTTCAAACGAAGAATCATTGAATCCCAACCAGTTTTCTGCCTTATCCAGCTTTGGGTGATCTCTGCAATTTGAAGGTAAGACGTTATTCTCCTTCGTTGCTCCTCTCAGTCCAATATCATCAATTATCGAAGAAGAAAGGGTATCATCAGAACTAGGCAATGACGACTTTTGAGTTTCCTGAGAATCATGTAGTCCAGAACCAACTGAAATCCTCTGAACTGAAACTGGAGCTTGTGCAGATTGTAATTCCGTCATAAAAGCAGTTCCAAAAAGTGATTCAAGAGTAAGTGTATTCCCTGAAGCATGACTATTGTTATCTTCCTTCTTAGATCTGTCTTGCACGGTAGTCTCACCATGTGCCTCCAATGATTCAATGCCAGCATTGGACCTCTGTGTCACATTTCCAAGATTTGGCCCCTTCTGTAATAATGAAAGGAGGTGCTGAGATGCCTGGCTATCCACATTTACAGGTTTTTCAGTCTTTGTGCGATTAGTACTCCAGCCTTGTGGCTGTGAATTAGACTTTTTTTCGCTGAACTCTGACAACATTGTATGCTCAAGGTCTTCACAAGTAAGGATCGTCGGCGCTGCCTCCCTTTTACTGGACTTATACACAAGCTCAGGCCCGCCAAGCGGTGAAGAAGGTAAATCCGAGACAAACTTACTTGTAGGCTCAAGACTTTTATAGGAGAATTCTGATGGTAATTGTTCTGAAGTATTACCCTCAAAGGGTTGCTTTCTGTTTTTATCACCACCAACAATTAATGCAAGCAAATCACTAGGCCTACTTGATGAAGAATCATCTTCCAGCTTCCTTTCTGCAACGACATAAATGAGATGAGACCATCTACATAAGATTTCAAGAGATTTTGATAGGATTCAGTAAGAAACCCAGGGGGGAAACAAAAAAGAAACGGATATACCTTCTTCGAAAAACCAATGAGCAAATTTTGATGACTGAACAGCTTTGGGGTCTAATTTGTCATTAGGCTTACTATCTTCATTCTGGACAACATGGTCGAGCCAAAAAATAACTAGTTAGAACGGATGCCAGAAAGTGAGAAGTTTTGACGACTAAATAAGTCTGAATATTTATTAAATATTCTTCGACAGTAAAAGAGGAAAACAAACAGACAAGCTGATCTCTAGCATTTGTGCAGATCACATTAAAAATAAAAGAAAACATCCATCCTATTGATTGTATATGTTCCTGCACCAATCCCAGTCATAATAGGGCGTCTTTAAAATTGTTTTCCTATGTTAAGGATACTGTCATAATCTTTGGTGTGGATGAAATGACATGTTACCACTCAGGATTCATGAAAACAATGGCAAGTCCAGTAATGAATTACTCATGAATCTATGTACAACATTATGATCATCCAAAATAATAACCCATTTCAATCTACGTGGTTTGGAAAACATGAAGAAATTTGAGGTGAACTGCAAAAGGACGGGGTCATGGGGCTTCACAGGATTGCATTAGGAATAACAAACCGAGATTCAAATAGCACACCGAGTCATAAAGCATGAACAAAATTTACCGTAACTGGAGCATCAGAGTCGGTGAGATTTGCAATGGCACTTCCAAAAATCTTATCCAGGATGGATATTGAATGGTTGATATTGGACTCCGCAACAAATTTGCCCCCTGAATTCTGGGCACTGAGTTCCAAAATTGCAGGCTCGTTTAAATCTAGGGTTGAAGTCCGGCGTGAATGATCTTCCATGCTAAATTTCCTGTCAGAATCATCTGAGTTCACTGACAATTTCACAATTTGGTCATTCTTCTTCAGAATTGAAGCATGCAAACTCTTGCGTTCAAGTTGATCACTCGAACTAATTTCTCGGGAACTTTGTCTTTCTAAGCTCTGACAGATACCATTTTGGGCGTCGGATTTGGCTTCCAATAGAATTTCTTCAGTTTCATGTTTTCCTATCTGTTGAAGTGATATGAAGAGCAGGCAATTAAAGAAAATATCATTTGGATTCATGAAGATCTATTTTATATATATATATATATATATATATATATAGAGAGAGAGAGAGAGAGAGAGAGAGGGGGGACTAAACTAAGCTATTAAACATTATTAAGGATTAGGATGCCTAACAGCAGTCTATCACCTACTGCTGAAGACAGCCCCAAAAGGTAGAAGAAAATTGTAACTGTGTATCATCTTTGGAAAGAAAGAAATTTGATAATTTTCCAGGGAAAAAGCAGGAGTACTGAGCATATCATCAAAACTATTGTTCAGGAGATCTTCTATCGAAAACCTAAGATAGCGAAGAAGTTGCAAAACCTGAATTTTAATCCTATTTAGTGTTTAGCCAGGGTCTGAAGTTAAGGAGAGAAAGTTGTGTTCTGCTGAAACTGTAATGTAGTTCTGCAGTTTTTTTTTTTCGTTGTAATACTTCCAGTTGGTTAATAAAATATTATTTTCCAAAAAGAAAAAAATTAGAAACAAAAAAAAAAAAATTGCAACTCACAGAGATCTGTATATATTTCACACAGTCTCTAGCTCGTCTTGAAAAGATGAACAATGAACGAAAAAGTGCATTAAACCTGTCTCTCCCTGAATATTGAGCTTCAGGAAAAAAGGGTTATATATTGAAGCAGAGAGGAAGACAAGAGAAGCATAGACAATATCACTTACTTTGAGGGCTTCAGAACCTAGAGCTAGTTTAGATGGACGACCCCTTAGTGCCATTCAAACAAAATTCAAGGGATTTCTTCATTATAAAAAAGGGCTTTGGGGATGGGGTCTTATATAATGTAAATTAAATAAGAAAAGAGCAAAGATGGAAGAAGAATCATCAATTCCCAGTTTCCCACAGCTGCCCCTTGGCTCCGTTTCCTAAAGTCCATCATTAGGATAGGGAGGGAGGAAAATATAGCTAAAAGTCAGGCCAATAAAATGTACAATGCTTAGTGGATTCACCAGGCTAATTAATGCACAATGCAGAGTGGATTACTTCCTCTCCAATAATGATGCACCTGAGCTGAGGCTCATGTGCAACTATATTCTACAGAAGACAAACTAAGGGAAGTACAAGTAAATACCTCTGTCAAACATGAATGGTTCAAAGTTGCTGAGCCAGAATTCTTATCTGAAACAGTGGTTTTGAAGCCTGGGGGCACAAGTGGTCTAGATGGGAGATTCTGTGAAAAGGAAGATGATTTTCCAGATTCATTGTTTGCGCAAGGTTGGCTGGTCGTTATATCTACTTCAGCATTCTTGTCCAGAAGCCTCCTATCCTTTTTATTATTTTCCAGCAGTACTGAAATGTCCGAGTCATACTCAGCTGTAGGCTTCTCTGGATTTGATTTCTGCTTATCTTGAAGAGTCTTCTGCTGTTCCTTCCTCATCAACTCAAAAGAAGCTGAGAGAAAGTCAATCAAAACTCAATCGTCCACAAACTCATCAAAGTTGCATACATATATATAGCACCGTAAGAGCCATGCATGATATTACTGAAAGAGGTAATACCTCTTCTCCTCCTTTCCTCTTCCACTCTGTCCTCACTTGCACTCTCAATTGAACCAAAGGTCTCATCATTGCATGCATCAGTGTTTCTACGAGAATGAGGCATTGCCTGAAGGTATCGCAAGAATAAAATTGACACAAGTTAAATTCTTCTCAAAGATCTTTAAAGCATAATCTGAAATGATGGGACAAATGCAGCAGATCAAGCAAGTGCTCATCATGTTGGACAGCAATGATAAAGTGAAAATTCACCTTATAAGGGCGAGGAGGATGATATGGCTCATTGCTCCTATTAAGCTGATGGTTATCACTTGCTCGGACCTTAGCTGCAGATACTCCAGATGCATATGCAGATGGCTTGGGAAATGAACCACTTCCAAGAAGCCCATCATGCTCAGAACTCTGCCAAGTGCGGCGTGCTTGATTCCCGTAGCGTCTAACAGGATCTGTATAAAATGTCGCTAAATAAATTTCTTAAAGGGAAAATTACCATTTAGTACCCACATGCACATGCGCATAAAATGAACAAATTGCCCAAGGCCATACAGTATAAGGAGACAATAGTTCATTCCCTCAACTATGGTGGACCATTCTAACACCCCCCTACATGCGCAACGCTAGACATTTGGAGCGTGGATAGGGTCCCTACATTGGGTAAACTGAGCAAAAGGATAGGTTTGGCTCTGATTCCAAGTTAAGAAAATGGAACTTTGACCTAACTCAACCCAAAAAACTAGCTCATGAGGTGAGAATTGCTAAAGAAAATATAAGGAGACAACAGTTCATTCCTCAACCAACGTGGGACATTCCAACACTTGTTAACCTTAGCATTTGTCTTGGAAAAGTCGATTCCGACATTATTCTTCATGACATTACTCTTAAGTTTTACACCGTCTCATTTCCTTTCTACTTTGCACATACCAGTTTAATTGTTCAAAACAGTCAGTAGATCTTGATCTTCACAACTAAATCTGTTTCTCAAATAACAAATATAAGAAAAAAAAATTCTTGATAGTATATGTAACATAATCCTCTTTTGGTTTAAAAGAAATCGTACATATAATATAATCTTCATATGATGAACACTTTTTCTGCGTTGTGCTACTTGTGCGGTTAGTGTGCTCGCATTATGTTTAGATTGCATCAATACTCCTGGACTGTTACCCTCCGATAACTCATTTGACGGTGGTACCTGAATCACCAAGCTTGGCAGACGAGACACGTACAACATGATGTTCCTAACAGGACCTCTCTAGTTATTCAGGCTCACACCTTTGTCCTAAATCACTATTTTTTTATAGTAAATCCTTGTAACATGAAGATAATATGACATCCATGTCTTTAGCAAGTGATATTTACTATTTACTAAAGAAAACCTCTAGGAAAACCTTAGATATTAAATAACCTTTAACATTCCATATGATTCTTAGCCCGAGCTTTCTACATTAGTTGGTTGTGAAGATTAGTCCCAGTTATTCACATTAATGGCCTTTGTATTTCACTATTACTCAGGGACAGACACTTACATTAGCTTCATTATGAGATCACAAACAGGAAGGACCCATCAATCGGGGGCAAAGGCCTCATTAATAGTTACAGCAACTCCACCTCGGATGTTTCACATCAAAAGGCCTGAACCTTTAGTCATCTGCTTCCAACTAAACACAAAATTTCACCTTTTCCCGATGTTTGGCTCCAATTAACCAATTAGAATATCTTCCAGACATTGAATACCTATTTAATAGCCAAGGTGTTGAATATATCTTAATATTAGCTCCACCACATGTCCTCCTCAACACTTCTGGCTAATTGATTCTGCAGTTCTATCTTTGTTCGTGCAGGTAATGAAAGCATATATAATTTGTCAAATTTCAACTTCCCAAGAGCTTCTGGATACACCAAAGAAGAGACAGAATAGTCTTATGGGAGCGGCAGTTTTTTCTCAAGGTATTCTCCCACGTAATTGTGTTTCATGAATAAGCTTCATTTTATGTTATGGTTAGGCACAAAGCGTATTTGACCCCAAGTGTTATGTTGGACGGCCTAGGATCATGCAAAGGACCAATTCTAAAGGGCAGCCCGATGAACTAAGCTCCTGCTATGCGCGGGGTCCGGGGAAGGGCCGAACCACAAAGGTCCATTGTATGCAGCCTTACCCTGCATTCGTGCAAGAGGCTGTTTCCACGGCCCGAACCCATGCCCTCTTGGTCACATGGCAGCAACGTTACCAGTTACGCCAAAGCTCCCCTTCCAAAGGACCAATTCTGCACCGGAAGAATCAACTCTACTACAAAGTAGATAGGGGATATGTAATGCCTAGTCTGTGGTCTCAGGGCAGTAAATTTTACAATCATGGATTGAAATGCTATGCAACCACCATAGTAATCTTACAACCCATTAATAATACATAGAATACAAATATGTATTCGGAATTGAAAAAATCAAGTATAACATAGACAACAGCTATATCTGAAAGAATATCAGCTTTACCGGAATCTTTATCTGATTGTGTATCACTATCTCGATCACTACGCCCAGAGGAACGGCTTTCCCATCTTCCATAAATGCCTCTTGAATTGCCATCAGAATCCCCACGAGTAGGTGGAGACGAACTATAATCACTACGTCTGAAACCTTGAGAGGGCAAGCTTCCAGGTATTCTTTGGCGGTCTTGTATGCCACGTGAGGTGTCCTCAAGCTCACTATTTAAATAGTAAAATGCACATTACTAATCCTTTCCATGCCGACCAAAATAAAACTACCTAATAGAGCAATACCAATAAAATATGGGAGAGTAAAACATTAATTGCTCCTAAATTTCAAGCAAATGGCACGTTATGCAAACACTCTTACCTCAGGATCGACTGATCAAACCCAGTTGGTATTTTCTTGCAAATCTCCAGTTGACTGAGTGACAAAAGAAACTCTCTTGTATACGATACTTTTGAATGCCTGGGTCATCGCAAAGAACATTCGCATTTTAAAAAGTTAATAAACAAAAATGATAACAGACCAACACCTCCAAGAAAATAGAATAAGCTGCAACTGGCCCTGTAATTAATGGAACAAGAAAGTTAAATCATTACTTCCGGACTTCACCAATTTCAGAAACGTGGTCGGTGGAGCTTCGATCCTCATTCTCCAAGCTCATTGTGCAATACCACGTAAAACAACTTGTGCACCAGCTATACTTCACCCACAAAAAAAAACTTGATACAAGAAATCAGTCAACAATAATAAACGAGATTCAAGTCCATCTTCTACAAAAATTCTTTCAAATCAACCCCCAGAAGAAAAGCGATCCAATAACATTCCAACTAATCCAAATTTGCAATAAAGGACCGAAATTTATAACATGATCAAACCAATACCAAATTCCTAAAACATCAATCCAATGTCAGCACCTATCTAAATTCCAGAAACTTCCATTCAAATGAAACCGGAAACGAATTATACACAGCTACCCAACAGTAATTTGAGCTTCGATCCAGCAAAATATACGAAAAAATCAGCTCAGTTATTTTCAATTCAACTTCCACCTCCTGATATAAACAATGCAAAACCTAATATTGCCTACAACCTCTTTTCTTTCCTTTCTCTCGGGATTATATACAAGCAGGTAATGCTCAGTACGATTCGCAAAATATAGGATTTTCCTTCGTAAACTGATGTTGAAATTGATCTTCTTTTTTTTGCGAAGCTAGGGTTGATGATTCTACCTGGATCAAGAGAGAGGGGCTTGGGGTGCAAATTCAAAATCGTTCAATTGATTGCGATAGATACATAAATCTATACGTATATGTTCGCATAGGTAGACGTGTGTATATATGTATGTATATAGTCGTATATATGGAGAGGAGGAGGAGGAGAAGATGAGAGAGACAAGGCTGGAGGGGTTCTCTGTTCTTCTATCAAAAACGGGACCAAGGAGATGACTTTGCCTACTTAAAAATAAAAAATAAAAAATAGTTTTATAAGATAAAAAAAAGGTGTATTTGCTCTACTGTAACAAATGTTATCTAGAAAATTTATTAAAATTTTGATTGTGTTAAGAATTTGGCATGTGATATACAAGTTAATATTACTAGTAGAGAAGTAAAAGGAAATGAAACTTTAAAGAAAGCCAATTTTATCTTTATGGCAGAAATTATTTTCATCAAATTAGAAAAATATATTTTGAGGTACATTTTTAGCTAGAATAACATTAGTTTAGGAAGCTTAATACAAAAGTTGACATTTTAACTTGCACAAGTTTATAAAATCAGCTCTCTTACTTAGACTTATGCCAACTAAACACATTTGCTTAGTAGTAAAATATAAAAATACCGTGATAAATATATTTCACAGTTGATTGTACATATGATTTTTGACTTATTTAACCAGAGTTTGTGCAGATGAAGAGCACGAAAATGGTGAAAGAAGGATCATTTTCTAATTTTTTTCTTCTTCTCATTTTTCTGGTATTTCCTAGTTTTGTGGTTGTTGTTATTGTTTTTTTATCTATTTTCTGTTTCCTACGGTGCTTATATTATTTTTTTGATCTTTGTTGTTGTTGGTGTTAGTGCATTTTAATATTAAAATTATAATATTAAAGTGCATTATTTCTTGTGAGATAGTGGTTATAAATTCGCAAGAAAGTGGTCATTATTTTGGTGGAACTCTTGAAACCACTAGTGTCATGATCTACCGCTAATTACCCATTAGATGTTAAATTTCATAACCACCAACCATGTTCTATAACTTTGAGCCCGTTTGGATTGGCTTGTTTTAAGTGCTTTTAAACCAAAATAGCTTTTAAGCCATTCTGTAGGGTTTGGATAAAGTAAAAAAGGCTTTTAAGCCCTTGTTTTTAAGCTAAAATGACAAAAACAAGCCAAAAGCAAAAAGCTAGAATTCCTAACTTATGGCTTAAAAGCTATTTTGGCTTAAAAGTCACTTAAAACAAGCCCATCCAAACAGGCTCTTTATTATGCCGCTACTTTGTTATTTATTTCATGGAAGAAATTCTACACCTATAAATAGTGGTGTTTCTTTCTTGTGTTTGGTGTGAGGAAAATATGGTAGAGTGTATGAAAAAAGTGAACATGGTGTGGTGAAAAGGAGAGTTAAGAGAAGGAGAAAATCTAATAAGTCTCCAACTTATTCTCTACAAAAGAGAATATTATTTTTGTTGAAGGAAGGTATTCATTTTGGTGGAGCTCTCGACCCAACAACTTGTCCAGAGTTTGTTCGAGTCATACGACGTTGTTGGGCTGTTGTATCCCGGGGGAGACAAGTCAAGAAGATTACTGCTGGATTAGTGAAGACTTTGCTGCAGCGGGCTTGAATCTCCTTAAAGAGAGCAAGATATCCGCGCCTCGCCCTGAAGAATATTTATTTATTTTTCTTCGTCTTATTTTCAACTATAATTACTTGTAATTTCACCAACAATTTTAAGGAGATTCAATTTTTTATGCTGTTGAAAAAATAGCGAATATCAAAACAGAAGTTCACTCTCTTTATGAGATTGAAAGGTAAAAAAAAATTATATGGTTAACTCAAGCGGGGCAAAGGTAAAAATAATAATTTACCTTATATTTTTATGAGTATGTGATTATATTATTTATAATTTTGAATTTTCATAATTATGAAAATAGTGGGGATAAATAATAATAAACTGGGAGCTCGTACGTTTCTCTCTCTAGCAGTTTCTCTCAGCGCACGATTAACGTGAAAGCTAACGTACGCCCACCGAAAAACTGGGAAGGGGACGGCCAGCAAAAAATGATAAAAACGTTCAGAAAGATGAAATTAAAATTGCCGAGGGAAGAAGTGTTACAGTGGAAATCAATGTTACCCCTAATCAACAAGGGGAAATTCTCACAGCACCACCGGTATTAATGGAAGCGAAGGAAATCAAAGCCACCACTCCAATTGGAGCAAGTGGAGCCAAGGAAGCAGGAAGCAGTAATGAAGGAGCACAAAAAACACAGAGGGCACAGACAAAAGGAAAAGAGCAGGAGAAACCAGCTTCAGAAATATGGCCAGTGTTACCAATAAGAGTAGAAGGGACTAAGACGCCACTGAATAATGAGAACACGCCGACTACTATGGGACCAAATACTATCTTAATTGGGAATCAATCTAGTGGAGAGGGAGGAGACAAAAAAGAACGGCCTTTGGAGATGGTAGCTGGAAAAGGAAACACGCAACGGAGGCTACAACTGGAGCATAAGGAAAATGGAGGAAGAACATGGGCAAATATGGTAGAGGAAAATAAATTGGCTACTAAGGGAATGGAGCTTCGATTTGTTCCACCAACAATAATAAATGGGGAGAAGGTTGCAGAATTAACACAGACAGATGTGAAAACTGAGAATGAGAAATGGAAGTTTGCGTTAATTGGGTATATGGTTGGAGGCACACCTACAATTGCAGCAATGGAAAGGTATGTTGCAGCTCAAGGGAACTTTGAGACTAAACCAAAAATATATTATCACAATGCAGGATACTTTGTGATAAATTTCAGTTCTGAGGAAGACAAGAGTCAATTGCTATGTGTAGGTCCTCATATGATGAACAATAGGCCGATAATTTTGAAGCCTTGGACCAGTGATTTTAATTTTGATAAGGAAGAATTGAAAACTATTCCAATTTGGGTGAAACTACCAAACCTTCCATTAAGCTGTTGGAGTCCTATAGCTTTGAGCAAAATTGGAAGTGGTCTGGTCTACCTTTGTATGCAGATAATTGTACTACTAATTCAACCAGAATTTCCTATGCTAGAATACTTGTGGAAATAGATGTTACAAGAGAATTGCCAAACAGTGTTAAGGTGAAGGATCCACAAGGAAGGATGTTTGAACAAGCATTATGGTATGATTGGAAGCCGATATGCTGTCCTAAATGCTTACAAATAGGACACAAATGTCAAACAGAAAAGCAAAACCAGAATGAGAATAAGCCAGGGCCATAACAGAGGATGAAATAGCATCAGCAGAAAACAGAATGGAAGATTGTTGGAAACATAGACAATAACAAGAGTTTGCAGATCAATGAAACAGAAAAAACAATTCAGCCATGAAACGATACAGCAAGGAGTTGATGATGATGCTGGAGATTGGAGAGAAGTGAGGGGTCAATCAGCAACAAAAAATCCACAGATTCCTCAGAATGGTAGCCATATAACAGTGTTGAGTGGTTTCAAGATGCTAGTTGAAGGAGGAAAACCTGGGGGACAAAGCTCAAAGCAACATATTCAGACTAGTCTAGGGACATGTGGAGAGACAAGGGGAAACAGGAATGACCATCATCCTCAAATATGCCAATAGTTACCTGGAATGTGAGGGGTTTCAATAAGGTGTTTAAGCACAAGGAGATGAAGGAGATATTAAAGAAATATAAAGTTAACTTAATTGCAATTAGTGAAACTAGAGTAGAAGATAATAAAATGGATACTATTATGAATAAAATTGTACCAAACTGGAAATGGTACACTAATGCAGGACATGGGCCAAGAAATAGAATATGGATAGTGTGGAATCCGGAGGAGATTCAGTTCACTGTCATGGATACATCAGATCAAGTGATCCATGGACTAGTGAAAACAAAGACAACAGAGTTTCAATTTTCAGCTGTGTATGGGTTACACACAATACACACTAGAAGGGAGATGTGGATTAAGCTAAGGAATTTGAATGTGAAAATAACAAGCCCATGGCTGATCATAGGAGATTTCAATTCCATAATTAATGCTGAGGATAGAAGGTATGGAAGTGAAGTCCAAGCACATGAAACTAAGGATTTCAAAGAGTTCATGGAAGAATGCAAGATGAATGAATTGCCAACGGTCGGAAGGACATATATACACGGATCAATAACCATGTGTATAGTAGAATTGATCGAGCAATTTTCAACGCTGATTGGATGATTACTATGCCCCCTTTACAGGTTCAAATACTGGATCCTCATTTTTCAGATCACTCACCTTTGAGGCTTGAGGTAGAGATACCTGCTGATAGTGGGAGAAAGCCTTTCAAGTTCTTCAACTACTTAGCTGATCACCCAGACTTTGAAAGAACAATACATGACAATTTGGGCAAGGACAAAGGGAAAGATGAATGGAGTATGGCAGAATTTGAAGACAATTAGAAAAGCAATGAAGAAGCTGAATGCAAGAACAAAGACCAGTGAGGTGCTACACAAGGTCAGAACTGAACTGGAAGAATTACAAAGTAATATGAGAGGTGATAATGTGAATTCAGAGAAGTTTGACAAGGAAAAGGATCTCAAAATGCAACTTGAGAAGTGGAATCTTGTTGAAGAGAGCATAATTAAGCACAAGTCAAGAGTTCAGAACATCAGATTGGGGGATTCAAATACTGGCTTCTTCTTTGCAAGTATGAAAGGAAGAAGAACTCACAACCAAATCTGAATGATTAAAACAAAGAATGGAGAAGTGACAAACAACCCTAAGGAAATTCAAATGGAGATAATAGACTTTTACAAGGAGCTTTTGGGATCAGATACTGAAAGCTTACCAGCAGTACACCCAAGAGTCCTTCAGCAAGGGCCTATCCTGAACAGAAGCCAACAACTACAGCTTATGCAACCATTCAATAAGGAGTATGTGTTACAAGCACTCAATGGAATTGATGATATGAAGGCACCCGGAGGAGATGGTTTTAATGCATACTTCTTTAAGAAGGCATGGAAGATTATAGGGGATGATGTAACTGAGGCAGTATTACAGTATTTTGATACAGGTACAATGTACAAACCTATAAATACTACTTCAGTAACTTTAATACCTAAAGTGAAGAATACTTCCTCAATCAAGGAGTACAGACCAATTTCGTGTTGTACTATCTTGTATAAAATTGTGGCAAGAATGATAACAAAAAGATTGCAACCTATGATGGAAGTATTAGTTGATCACAGTCAGGCAACCTTTGT